GGAAGGCTAGGAATGACAAATTGTTCAGAGGAATAGATAGAGATCCTCTGGAACTGGCTCGATATGCAGAGAGTGAGTGTCTGGCCTGGTTTCAAGCTAATGAGCAGGATGAGGTGGATACACAAGCGAACGGTGATTCTGGACGTCAGGCCTTAAGCCTACGCGATATTTGCATGATTGATGGTTCTTGGACCTATATTGATCAGTTCTCCGGTTGTGGTTGGGATTGGAAGGATAGCATGGGAAATAGTCAGCTGATGGGGATGCGTAATGTGAGTAGAGTGGAGTCAGCTTTGCATTCTGAGCTGGAAGCACTGCGGTGGACAATGGAGAATATGCTTCAACATTCGCCATGTCAGAGCTTTGGGACGGACTGCAAGGAATTGATAGCAATGCTCACGGACCCCTGCAAATGGCCAAGTTTTTCGACGGAACTGGAGAGGATCTTGACGCTGAAGATTTGTTTTCCAGATTTCAAGATTTCTTATGTTCCCAGATCTCTAAATGCTGTGTCTGATCACTTAGATAAGACTCCCGCTCTTTTTATCGTGATCTTTTGTATGTTGGTTGTTCTATTCCGGTCTGGATTTCCAGACCACCTCAAGCTTGAGTAATAGATCAGCCATTAGTTGTCAAGAAAAAAAAAAAAAAATTCAAACCAAATATCACTTTTTATACATGTCCATCGTCAAGAAACGACAATGATACTTTATCAAGATTCTTTGTCATTTATTATTCAGTCTGGTAAACTTTTTGGTTATATAATATATCTATATTATTAAAACTGAATTACCAAACATATAACAATATAAATGAGAATTCTTTGCATATATGAATAGTAATATCTTTTTAATATCTTTTTTACATATTTAGTCATTATATTTATAATAAATTAAATATTTTTGAATATTTCTTTTTATTTATTGATTTTGCCACTACATTTAGAATTAATTTAGATTAGTTAATTAAAAATCCAAAATTGATAATATAGGTATACAGTTATAATATAATATATATTAAATAAAAAATATATAGTATTAGCATATTTAATTTTGTCAAATAGAAAAATTTTGAGAGTTCAATTTTCAAGAAACAAAATATCATAATATTAACAATAATAATTCATAGAAACTTATGCAAAAAAAATTAGTATACTTTTCAAGCTAAAATAATTAAGGAAAAATAACAGATTAATATATGAAAAATACAATTACACTAAATTAAAAATTATTAAGAAATTAAAAAAATTATTATCAAGCATCTATATTATAAAATAATATATTCTACTCTATATATAAATTACATATATAAAAATATATATGGGAATTTTTGTAGAACCAGTGGTTTTATGAGTTTATGTTGAACACATGTTAGATCATCTCCAAAATAATCTCTATAACTTCAAATATAAAGTTTTTTGCTCTCCAAAAAGAAACTTCAAAACTTCTAATTTGAAATTTTGGGAAGTGAAATTTCATATTTGAAGTTTCACTTCTCAAAATTTCAAATTTCAAATTTCATCTTTTTATTTGCAATTTGGTTCTTATATTTACATATCTTATTTACGATTTTTAAGTATTTTCTTATTTATCATTTTAATCTTTAAAAAACTTATATCTCACAAATCTTCAAATTTATTTCTATAAATTAAGCTTTACACATAAAATTAAATAAGAAATTAAACTAAGATTTTTATTATTTTAAAGGTAAAATTAGACAACAAGAATATTAAAAACAAAGTTATTTATTATTTTTTAAAGAAGATTGTAGTTTTTTTGGTAAACGAAGATTGTAGTTTTTTTTATTCTTGACTTCTTTTTCGTATAATTTTTTCTTGTTCAAAATGAATGTACTCACGAGTATTAATATCACCGATAGAGGTGTTTTAGCAATATTTTGTTTTCCTCTTTTACTTCTTTAAACTAATTTTTTTGCTTCATTTTTCATTCGTAATTCAATCATCTCATGATTTTTATCCATGTTTGTTGCACTTTCTTTTAAAAAATCACGGATTTGTTTGTTGGATGATATCAAAGTATCAGCCGCCATGTTATTACCTTCGGTAATCTTCTTTTTGAGTTTTACTTTATTTGACCCAGTAGGACGTGAACTTGATCCGCCATCATCACTACTTAAATTGAATGAAAATGAAGGCATTCTCGGAGATTTAATTATGTATTTCTATTTCTAGTTTTATATTTTAATGTAAATTTTTATTAATTAATAATGTTTTAATATTTGTATATATGTGTAGTTTTTTATAAAAGTTATGAATTTTCATTAATTATGACAAATATAAGGACCATCATGTAATATATAAATAATTTCGAAGTTAGTTTTGAAGTTTTTGTTTTGGAGAAGAACACTTTGAAATTTTAAATATAGAGTTTAAGAAACATCAAAATAGATTTTTTCTTTTTTTTTTTTGAAATGCTCTTAAATCAAATATCCGTGCGGGGGCGCGAATCAAGTTCTAGTTAATATTTATAACTTTGCCTTTTACAAATGTTATTAAACTCCAAAATCTAGACATGAGACATTTCTTAACAAATTATTCTTTCTGTTATGCGTAAGTAATTAATAGTTAATACAAAGCATATATCTTAGAAATTATCGTTTGTATGTGTATGTTTATGTGGACATAAATTCATACAGATAAATGAAGAAGAGGGTCTAAAGACGAATGAGACGAAGAAGATTCTGCGAAACTGCTCCAAAGATCGACATTATTATCATTATTCCACTGAATATCCCATCGATGCATCATAGCATCACCATCTTCTTCTTCCTCGTCAAAATTCGTATGATGCCATTGTTTATGTCACACCCGACTTCTCCAAAATAATATAACTATAATAGCCAACTAATAATAACATAAGTGTCATTACCAAATACTGAAAAGTCAACATCCACGTCGGAAATCCGCAATATAACATAATATCCGAAATATAAATAACATAAATCGAAAGTCTGAAAATACGAAACGACATATGCGATAAAAGCCCAAAGGCTTATAAGCCCAATAACGATAAAATATAATAAGATATGATAACAGCCCAAAAGCCCAAATAGCACCGGTCCGGTAGATCACTCCTGCACATTGGTCTTACCTGCAAGGGGGAAAAAAAGGAGGGGTGAGCAACAGGGGAGTCGCTCAGTGAGGTATGGGGTGCTAAACCTCAAACCACTGACTCAGTTCATAGCACTACAACTATGTAGGCCTAACTCTAGCATGTAACAAACACAGTGTCTAATACACCTCACCGAACAACAATCAATGCGCTAATAGCACAAAGCTACTCTCTGCACCACGCATTTCCACGTAGGGATATATATATATACTCGAAGCGTTGCCAGTACAGTCTGTCTCTGTACCCCCGCCCATCGTAGCGTCGAATGCAAACGTCTCTGCATCACGCCCCACGCAGTAGCGTCGAAGCTCAAACGTCTCTGAACTCACGCCCAACACCGTAGCGTCGAAGCTCAGACAGCTCTGAACTCACGCCCAATACACCGTAGCATCGAAGCTCGGACATCTCCGAACTCACGCCCCACGCATAGCCCCTACTAGTAACTATGTATATACATATATATATATATATAACAGTGCTCAGCATCAATCATCTCATACAACCGTTGAATCCTCTATTATCCTCTATCCGGTTTAGCAGTCAATAACGATAACTACACAAGCAAGAATCTCAAACAGACTCGATACATAGAGACGGGACATGTTTCGAAACTAGACTTTTCATAATAATAGTACTAAACTAGTTCGGGATTTAATCGGAGTAACCCTCACCTTAGCAATGAAGAGAAGTGGTATCTATGGTCTCCAGGTGCTCAAATAGACTCCAAATCTGAAACCAGGGCGAAAAATTGAGTCAGAACGGCTTTCGAACGGTTTAAAACAGGTTTCGGATGGATTAGACAAAAAGTCAACTCGTAGGTCAAAGTCAACCCGGTAAACCCTTGACCAGAAATCAATTGACTTAACCAAATCGGTTTGAACTTAACCGATTTTGAATTGAATTGAACCAAACCCTAATCGATTTCAATCCGGTTTTCTCTTAACCAAAATCAATTAATTTAATTAACCGGTTTAACCCTAACCGATTTCTAATTGATTTTAACCGTCGGTTTAACTAACCAAACACTAACCGACAATAACCAGCCTAAACCGGTTGACCGAGTCAACGGTTGACTCGCCGAGTCAACCCGGCCGAGTTGACCGAGTCGCCGGCGAGTCACCGGCTCCGGTCACCGGTCAGGCGAGGAGAGACGGCGGCTTACCGACGGATCTCGGGCGGCGGCGCGGCGGCTTCCCGGCGGCGGTGGCTTCCCGGCGGCGGACGGACGGCGGCCGGCTACGGCGGCTCCGGCGACCGGCGGTCGTAGACGGCGGCGCGTGTGGCTCACGCGCGGCGGAGGCGGCGGCGCGTGACCGGCGTGTGTACTTCACGCGCGCTGGCGGCGAATCTTCAGAAGGCGCGTGCGGCTTCGTCTGAGGTCGGATCACGGCGTTTTTGGGGTCTACGGATTCGTCTCGACGAGTAGAACACGGTGATATCCTTTCATTCACGAGATTCTCAACGGTTAGGGAGTTATGGTCGATTTACTAAACGCATCAAAACTAACTTAAAAAGGTTGGGTTTTCCGGTGGTTACCTAAGGCGGTTACTGGGGGTGACGGGCTGGTCGTGAGCTCTGGTCGTGGTGGCTCCGGCGACTGATTCCGGCGACTCCAACACTGCATGCAAACACCAACACTTCATTTAAAACTATTTTTCTCTCTAACTTTCTCTTCTTTTGGTTGCAGGTGGAGAAAACAATACTGGAGATTGTGGTATTTAAAGAAAATACCTTGGGCTTCTGAATGTGGGAATGGGCCTGGAGGTGTTGGGCCAGGTGATGGGTTATGACAGTTTAATTGCCACGCAACTAACCGATCAAGACTAGCCCAATTACTGCAAACCGGTCCACCGGTTATAATCTCTTGATCTATAGAGGAATCCAGTTGGTTCGGAAGCTTTGAGTTTTGGTGACCAAGTTTCCGGATTTGGGTGTCTCAAGACTTGGGAGTTGCATGAATAAAAGATTATCCTGATGTTGAGTTTTGGTTTGGATCTCTGGCATGAAAATATTGGGTCCGGCACGGTCCATGCATAGAAGAACATTGTCAAAAACGGTGGCGTTTAGAGTGTTGTGAAAGGTGGTAGGCCTTCTGTGTTCGTCAGTGTCATCAAGTGAAGAAGATAGAGTGATTTTAGGAGAATCGTCGATCTTTTGATAGTTCTTCTTCCTGAAGACTCGACATACCACCCAACCTTCTTCATCATAGCTCATTGGGTCTTCAGTTACAACATCAGAATAGCTCTGCTAACGGAAGAAAACAGACCTCAGTAATTAAAATTCATTAGAAGATTTTGACGGTTACGTCGAAAATGCGACTTGTTGAAGTTGTTTGGAGCAAAATAGAAAGTGAAACAACAAACGTCCTAATATTTCTCACGCTATAAAATAAGAATTTCATAACTTTTGAGAACCATTTTTCCACTGTAGAAACTCAAAGGACAGTTTTTGTTTTTAAGTCTTACACTATATCTATTTGGTTTATTCAATTGTAGGAAGTAATTAAAAATGAAAACGAAAAATTGAAACAATGTTAAAGTAAGATATCATACAAATCTCCTTGACAAAAAACAGATATCATACAAAATACACTGTTGTTTTTAATTATATCCGTTTGCGAGTTTACAAAAAAAATGTATATCCTTTTGCGGATAGTTTCTGTTAAATCGCCTAGAACTAATAATCGTAGTTATGTAATCTCCTGATAAAATTACTAAGCCATTGTACTTCAATGTTTTGAAGAAATGAAATGAAAATGTTGGCAAAATAATCTAGGGACTTTTACAAAATATTGTTTTTAATTTTCATATCTGCCTTAGTGAAACGATTAAACTCAATTTTGCTTCTTTCAACCTACAATAAATATTGCTATACTTACATCAGTTGTTGGAGTATCGTGGAGGCGACACTCATGCATGATCCAATCAGATTTCTGACCATGAGGAGCTCTTCCTTTGTAGAACACAAGGGTCTTCCTCAATCCTATTCTCTGGACACAACTGTATATGATCTTACCACGTCCAGTAGCTTTCCAAAATCCGGCGACTGTTGCCCTGTTTGTTCTTGACCCGGTTGGATACTTCTTGTCCTTATGACTGAAGAAGTACCAATCGTTCTGTGGTGTCGAAACGATTCTACATTCCTCTGCATTGCGTACCAAAATGGTTCAAAAAAAAGACTTGATAGAAACGAAGAAAGAGATTTTCATATAAGGGTTTCTTGTTAGAAGAACCTTGAATATCCCAAGGCTCAAGCTTGTTGTGATATACTTCACGAATGATATCAAGATCGATCTTTTGAGAGTGAACTTTCTTGCGGAGATAGTAATGGAGAAGTTCTTCGTATGTTGGATGGAATCTGAAACCTGGAGGCACTTTTGATTGTCCATTAATCAAAAAATTTACCTTATTCTCCGCAATCGATGATGATAACGATATCTTCTTAGTTGTTTTGCTCTAGTAGAGAAGCAAAGTTGTATGGTTACAAGGGAAAATGGTTACAACTTACTGGGAAAGCAGGCGATGAGATCATTATTTATAATGGTGGTGGTACTCGATGACACATAGCCCCTGGAAGAAATTATTATTGAAATAAAGATTTAAATTTATCATGCATAAAGTGTCTTTTTAGAATTAAATAATTTTTTAAACTTATGGTTTATGTTTAAATCGAAGTTGATCATGTGTAGGTTGTGACGTAAGTTCTTTCCTTTTTGACGTCTTTAGGTAGGTCTGGATGTAAGCAGTGGCGGATCTACTTGTTTAGTAGGGGTGTCAGCTGACATACATTAAAAAATATATATGGTTTTTTCAGCTAGTACAAGTGAAATTCAACAGGTATGGTGGTGATTTCACTGATGATGACACCTCTAAAACCTGAGTTCAAATCTGCTTCACCCTCTCCTTGACACCTTATTTTTAATTTGAATTTAAAAGCCCATTAATTTTGACACCCCTAAATCTGGATTCTAGATCCGCCACTGGATGTAAGCCGAGAACTTGGCTTATACTTTTAGTTGATCCGACCAAATATATATTTGATCAAATATTTGCATATACTTTAAATATTTTCAAGTTATTTGGTAATAATTGATAGTTGTTTATTTAGGTTTAAAACTTTAAGACTGTGGAATCACCGTAGCCTAGTGGTTAAGGTTTAAAGATTTCTACACAAAGTCTGGGGTTTGAATCTCTTCGAATCTCAGGCTACGCAGTTTCTACACCAAGAGGGTTTTAATTCCTGAAAAATGTGAATGACGAATTATGCAGATTGGAAAAAAAAAGCTTACAAAAGATCTTCAGCATGACGCAAGACGTACTGTCAGAAATGTATCTTATAGGACAGCCCAGGGTGATGCAGTAAATACTTTTGTTTTAAATATACTTGTTACTCTACTTAGTCCACATGCACGTGTGTAAACTCATCTGATTAAATATATATTACATCAAATATCTAAAATAATTTATTCATTCTGATTTTTATTACAATGCCAGTAGTAAAACATATATTTTAATACATGGTACACATTATTAAAACCAATATCAAGTACTAAAACAAAAAACAGGTCAAGAATTAAAAGGAGTTGTGATATTTGATACTTGATTTGTATTTGTAAATAATAAATAACTAGGTAGATATTCGCGCCTTGCGCGTTATGAAATAAAAGTTATATTAACAAAAACACATAATTTTCTTTAAATATAATCTCTAGATTTATAATATAAAATGTTAAAACTAAAACACATGGAGAAATATGTGCAAATTATTTTGCGGGTTTTATAATTCTATATAATAGTAAAAGGTTTTGTTTTTGTTTTTCCAAATACATCATGCAAACCTATATAATTTTTGTTTTGAAAGCCCATAAATCAACTTTTGTTTGTTGCCTACAAATGTTAGAAGGTTTATCGAATCTATTCTTTATGATAAATGCGAACATATTGTAAATAATCAAATAAAAATGATGATATTTTAAATAAGGATCAACACATGTATAAACAAAAAAAAAACGAAAGGAGGGTTCCAGCGAATATTTTGACTTGTATAATCGGGATGGTACTAACAAACGATCTCGGGTCAGTTAACTCCTGATTTTCTTGATGATCCTCGGTTAGCAGATTCTTGTTGAGTTGCAATTATTTATATTTGGTGTTGTGAGTCTTTTATGAATGTTTACAATCACCAACATTAACAATAAGCCGAAAATATGTTGAATAGATCTTATGGCCAGAAAGAGCGAAAGAAAATAAATGATATGTGTCTATTTTTCCTTAATGCCTTAAGCATTTACAGACTCTCTGTTTTTTTTTGTATGACTTCAAATTTTGACTACGTTTATCTTATGTGTTTTTATAAAAGTCGTAATCGAATGTCTGCATAAGATACTCGTAGGTTAGACTAACTATGCATAAAAATACATTAAATGAACCTGGCTTATCATCATTTTTTTCTCAATGGATTGACATTTAATAAATTCTTCTTATCATGTAAATGTGTCTCACAGATATAATACAAAACAGATGTAGGATGGGAATAAGAAGAACAAAATAACAGTACTATGATTGTATAAAACACTATAAATTATTCTTCTACACTACTATTTTAAACTTAAGCAAGATAAACTTATATAAAGAGGCAAGAGTTTTTGATTTGGATCAATTGCAGTATGATGAGTGACTTGGTACATATAGAAGAACCGACTGGTAGCACAATAAACTCAATAATTTTGGACATAAATATAGGTATATACGGCATTAACTGAATAAAATCTTTCAAGAATATTTGCTCCTCAATCCCAACGCTTACATATTTGATTATAAAGTTCCAATAATATTTCATATCATATTAAATAGCAAATATGTGATCAGGATAAATGTCATATATAATTGACATAGCGTTGAAGTGATGAACAAGGATTCGTGTTAACCAAGTTCAAAGTACATAACTGATATATTTGTACTTAATGCGATTCACATTCACTGGAGTATATAAGCAATATAATTTTTTATGGGAACAAATCTCATACTATTGTTTACCAAAAAAAAAAATCTCATACTAAATAGATTATTATGAATAATAAAAATTTGAAATACAATAGATATCCCTTTTTATTGCCTAAGAATTTCCCTATATCAAGCGTAGATAGTTACTCCTTACTATTGGATTTAAGCTTATAGAACTTAATACTTGTGTTAATATTAAATGTAGCATAATTTACTTACTGAAAAATTTCAGTGGAAGCAAAACTAAAAAATAAAACGATTCCTAAACTAAATATTAAAGGCTTTAATCATCATTTCTCTCGATCGGATTAAAATTAACATCTTGACAGTGATCTTTTTAGCTTCATAGATGCATACATTTGTGTTATTTTTGGGGGAAAAATACTTAATAAAATTTTTTTCATAGTATCTCAATGTATCAGCCCCAAGAGTAAAATCTAAAATGATTTGTATTGAATTGACAATATATACCATTTTTATCAGATTCATCATTTTTTTTAAATGCACAGAACCTAGAATGTATCAATTTATTTGATAGTGCCTTGCTTCACATTTATATGAATGTTAAAGTAGCATATTAAGATATTTTAAACTTTTTAATTTTCTAAAACGCAACTAAAAGACTGATCTATATACTGTATATAAATATATGTATTACTGTATGCAAAAGCATTGATTCACATTATAAAAAAAATTGTATCATAGTGTTTTGCTTCACCCTATAAAAATTAAACCAGAATTTCTATAAGTAATTTGCTATAAAAAAAAAAATTTGTTATGTTGTTTCATAAGGCGAAGCTCAACATTATATGACTTTCATATATGTAATTTACTTTATGAATTATCTTAATTATAATTTGGTATGATGTTTCTTCTTTATAGCTCAACCTTTGATCCGATAAAAGCTAAGAAATTTTCTTATTTTTTTATGTTGGCTAATCACGATGAAAGCTAAACAATTTTATAATTTTTTGCAAGTACATAATGAAATAAAATGCTTATGATCAGGTGTGGAAGACACCACCTTAAATGAGTTAAAACCATACATTTACAAAAAGATACAATAAACTATACAATTGATCAAATAATTTAATAAGGTAGTCGAATGACATACTATGTAAATAGTCTAGTTATGAAAAGGTTAAAGTTAAAATAGACTGAGAATAATTCTCATTATGACACATAGAAAACAAAATTGTCTTGACTCTTTATCTTTCTAACAATAACATTCACTTTACATAACAAAACTAAAGTTGAATTTTCTAACAAAAAAAACGTAAAGGAAACTAAAGATACAAATATTTAAAAAATATAGACTATACTTTCACACCTATCAGATAGAAATGGAGGAAGCTCAGCTCCAACAAGACATAAACTGCCAGCTCGGAAGTAGAAAAACTACTCAAAGTAGGATCAATTGTAATTTAAATCATGTGAAAGTGAAAGCTCAGCTCCAACAAGACATAAATATGTGTTCATGCAGCGGAAATGACAATAACATTCACTTTTTGTCGGTAACTCTTAGAATATCGTCAAAACATCAATTTTCTTCGATGGTTGAATCAAAGCCCTTTAACAAATTAAAAGTCATTAATTCTAAATAAGTGTAGAAAATAGGAGAAATAAATTGATAATTCAATAAACTCATTAATTAAATTGACTTTATTTTCTAAAACAAATAAGGGGGATTTACAAAAATCGAACCAAAACTTAAATTTGAAGACCAATCTATACTCCAAATTCAACAAATACAAAATAACTTAAAATAGTAGTAAGATTACAACTATTATATATAACCAAACAAAAAAGATTGTAAGCGCTTTTACGATCATGGTCCTGAAAACTCTTCTCTAATCGACATCAGAACACCTCTCGGAAAATCTATCCCTCTCGAGAAGACTTCTCAAGAAGTCTGTTCATGCCTTAATTTTAAATTTAGTTTATAAAATTAAGAAAAATGTTTTGATGAAAAATAAATTGACATCATGTAAATATAAACAATTCAAACCATGTAATTTCAAATTTAATAAAAGTGAATTGTTTTCTGTATAGATGAGTGAATATATATTGTAAGTCATGATTGTCGTTGAAGTAATGTTGGAAATATTAGGGTTAGATTTTGAAATTTCATTTTTTTGAAAAAAATTGATATATAAATATTTAGTTTTGTATATATTAAATATTTTATAAGTTGATTTTATGTTTAATAAACGGTTCCTTACTATCTACTTAACATATTTGTTTTTAGGTTTAAGGATACAAGACTAAGAAATCTGTAAAGAAGTTATTCACTAATAGACTTCTTGACAAGTCTTCTAAAACGTAAGGTAAATTTAGGGTTATGAAATTTTGGAGAAATTTGCTAAACTGTAATATGCAGACAGTAATACACTAGCATATTTGTGTGAGAAGTATTCTACATCAAAAATTTTAACATAATTGAAATTTTTGTCTCTTTATATATAGAAAATGTACACACACTCTCTCTTCTTTTGTAAAATGGCTGCAACAAAACTTTAATGTTTTTCA